CAATCAAACACTCTTGTCACTGGCAAGCACACAATCAAACACTCTTGTCACTGGCAAGCACACAATCAAACACTCTTGTCACTGGCAAGCACACAATCAAACACTCTTATCACTGGCAAGCACACAATCAAACACTCGATCTTTGTCACTGACAAGCACACAATCAAACACTCTTGTCACACAATCAAGCGTCAAGGCTGGCAGGCATATGACCAATGGTGCGCTCTAGCGCCACAGCTGCGCTGCCTCTCTGTCGTCTGGCCAATGCATCAAGAGGCGAGACTTATAATGTCAACTGCTGCACGGTGCTGCTGCTGCACGGTGCTGCTGCTGCACGGTGCTGCTGCACCATGCAAAAGCTTCACCGCGAGATGTACCAGATATGCATCACTAAGATGTATTCGGTTCTGCGCTAAGGTTCACCAGTTCCGTGCGAGTAATCAAAAGTAAATTATAAGCTTGCTCATCCTCTGTACAAATTAAGCAATTTTCCCAACACATCTATTCCAGATTTTGCACTGAAACGAAATAAGTTTAAGATATCAGCGAAAATATTTCCTGATCTTATTTGGTAATCTTTTCACGATCGAAGATCTCAACGCCTACCTGAAAAGTCATACCTACCGTGCGATTTCTATCATCCATCGTGGCCTGGGACTGCTACATTCGAAATAAATACTAAGGATACTAATAATACTAATTCATAGTACCCCGCTGCTAGCACCAGAACCACCGACTCAGGGCCACGGGTGCTGTCCCGCTTCAGAGCGGGAGTAGCTAGGTTCTCAGGGTCTCTCTGTCTCTTACACCAGCGCTTGGAGCCTGCTGCGTCTAATCACAGTATAATATGTCTCTTCACCTCAAATTAGTTCAGAGATTCCCCAGCAAACTACGAAATCCGCAAGCAGCAACACGTTATTAATCTGAGCTTTGACCTGACCTCAGTCGCCAACCATCCTGGATCTCTTAATCTCGCGTGTGAGGTTCTCTCGCTCTTGTGGTTAAAAGCCACGAGCGGTCCTCAAATGGCTGAACCCCATCCCGAGGTCAGAAGTTACGAAGAACTAATTTAGTATAAAATGCCAAAAAGGCCAACCAAACCTGTCAGAAGGCTCATGGCCCTGAGTCTTCGTCTGACTTGAAGCGCTTGAGGTGAGGCTTGTATCTCTGGCCAAAAATTGTCCTGAAAATGGATGATCATTCTACAGTCTAGCCCATAATATTTTTGAAACTTTAAACCATACCAATTGTTGACTTAGATCGTTTTCCTGATAACCGCAAAAAATTATGTCCTGTTGAAATCCTTGTTTGTTTTGTGTTCTATTTTTTTAGGGCTCGTCTAGGGCACTCGGGCAGAGTGGCTTGGCTATTAACAAACTGTAGATTATGCGCCGCTCTCAATTGTCACCCACGAACTCCTATGTGCTCACAAAGTCAAGCCTTGTTACTTCAATCTCTGACAAGAACAAGTTTTCAGCAGGTGTCTTACCGATAGCTGTCATGCAGCTGCCGAATCAAATGTCCTCTTCTTTCCAAACACACACAAAGAGTGTCTGAGTCAGGAAGTGTTCTTAGACCAACTAAATAATGCAAATGAGCGGTACAGAGCCGCGTTTGTTTATTTTAGTCGCTTGGTCGCGTCTACTTCTGAGTCTTTCAATTTTTGATACGGTCGACCTCAGGTTTTCCCTGTACGATGAAGTAAGATGTGTGAATTCCTAGCCACCATGAGTCCCTCATTCTCCCAGGAAAATTTTATCCTTACATGAAGATAAGCATAAATTGTTATGAAATCAACATTAATTATATGGTTTCATTCAAGTGCTGCATCGCGTCAAGTCTAACACCGCGAGTTTCACCATGCTGGTGCTACTCCTTAATATTGCCTCACCCTGCCAGTGCTATCTATTCTAGTACAACGATATACAGTGGGGGGAAATAAATATTCGTACACTTGAAAAATCGTATTTTAATGTATGTAAGTACACAAACTGAACAGGAGAAGTGATTTATATTATGTATAGAGGCGCATTGTATTCAAAAATAGCATCAATAGAAATTAAATCTCAATGCAACAAAAATTAATGCAACATGTTAACCTCTTCGGGTGAAAAAAGTATTCGTACAAAACAATAAATCCGCATTATTTTAATTTAATACTTGGTTGAATACCCTTTATTCAGCTCAACAGATACCAGTCTATTTCTAGACGTCTCGACCAATGATTTGCAGATGCTGACTGGTATTTTATACCATTCTTCTTGGCACACCACCTTAAGATTCTCAATGTTTGTTGGGATTTAATTTCTTTTGATAGTATTTTTGAATACTATGCGTCTCTATACATAATTTAAACCACTTTTCCAGTTAAGTTTGTGTACTTACATACATTAAAATACGATTTTTCAAGTGTACGAATATTTATTTCCCCCCACTGTATATACTATCTATACTATTGAAACCATGTAAATACTCAGTTTTAAACTGCAATACGGCGCGAAGAGCTCCCCCATTCTGATGCTTCACTATGCTAGAAATGCACTATGCAAATTGCACATTTTTACGGCAAAATATTTTATATTTCTTTTCATCCTTAGTCTGCTATGGGACTGACGAAGATAATGACACAATGATCGCGATATATCTATAATATTTAACCAATCTCTTCAGCGTCTCGTAAATATTACGTTTCGATAAAAGCCGGAATGTGCTACATATTAAGTGAACATGCTGAGACACTTGATATTACGATGGTAGCTGCGAGAGTAACTAAGGTTTTAAGGTCAGTTTTAAACTCGCATAGTTTCGAAGACATTTTTTTCCATCTTATTTTCTAACATCATTATCAACCTAAAGCTGGCAGGTTCAGTTAATTTTGTATCATCTGGCCGCCTCCGCCTTAAAATGTCCGTTTTCCAAGCATTCATAACGTTAAAAGTTTTTCCAATTTCAGAAAAGCCCTCAATTTTAAATTTTCTCAAACTACCACAGTTAAATTTAAAATGTAAGCTTTTTAGAATCATCAACCCCAGAATTACTCATGGAAATTTTTGGTGTAGTGAAGAGGTTATGACTTAAACTTAGAGATACTAAATACTGGAGACTAATATACAACAGATAAGAGATATTAAATATTTGAATCTGTAATGTATGAAGTTACGCGCGTGAAGGGTGGGAAGAACACGGCAGCACGGAACAGGATTTACTGTAACTAACATAATGAACATGAAACATTGAAACAAGAACGAAGGCTTACGGAGCACGACTTCTAAAACGTGCTTTTTCTTAGCAGCTAGTTATTAAGAATACAGGAAACTTTATATGCTACAGAATCTTAGAAACATTACTCACCCCCCGTGTCCAGAAGCGCCGCGGTCAGTCAACGCGCGTCTTAAGTTCACGTAAATCTCGTGCGTAATAAAAACTTTCCGAGTTTGCTGCACTAACTCAACACTGGAATTCGGGTCGTAGCCTGTGTCCGATCGCTATTCACTGTTCGTTATTGAATACTTTTATAGCACGCAACTTTTGCAACCTTGTGTTAGAAAGAATCTGCAAATAATTAAAACGTTAGTTTAATGAGACATTTCTTAAACAACCAGCAAGTTTACAACAGCATAAACATTTTTAATTTATTTTTATTACTATGTAATTTATACAATACGCTGTTGTTTGCAAGGCAAGAACAACAACAACAACTCGCAAAAAAAATTCTTCGCTCTAAATTTTTGCAATCAATCCAAATCTCAATTTTGTACAAATAAATTCTACATACGGAAATTGAGTCATGAATGCGTAACTTAAATTGAAAATGAACTATAATGAATTAATAAATAATGGTCTTTAAATGATGCTACCAATTCACCACAGCATGACTTGCACCATATCTTGTTCCTGTTCCCTCATTATTATCATTATTCTACGAAGAGATTAATAGCCACGTTACAAGCATAGGAAACTATAAAAATTCCGACGGTGAACCAAAAATTCGAAGTTAAAAAGGAAATGAGCGAACAAAAAACAGCTTTGTAATGAAACATTCAGAGAATCTACGAAATATTTCCTCATTGGCTGTCATTTACCGATGATTTCTTGACAAACGCGAATGCGATGAATTGACTATTGAAAATAATACCTTAACCTTTGATCCGTAGGGCAAACACAAACGTTGAGATTTCAAACAATTTCTTCAAAATTAAGATGAATGTCAATATTTGTTTGATTTTCCGCAAACCCAAAAAATGTCAGAAGCAGGCGCTCATTGGTCTCGTGGTGGGAGGCCTGGATTTATTTTCGAATGAAATTCTTCCCAAAACTATGGCGGGAGGCAATCGTGCTGGCGCTTCTTAACTTATTAGCCATCGCAAGTTTGGCTCGCATTCGAAAAGTTGTCGTGGCGGCCGCCGCTCGCGCCTCCAAATTTGCATCTTCATCGGTCCCTTGGCTTTCGGTCCATGCTTTCATGCGCATTTTTGCGGCCAATAATAAAACGCATGTACGTGATTGCATGCGTATGGCACGCATGCACGAGATTGCATGCGTATTCCACGTATGCACGTAAATGTATGCAAAATAAATGGACATGCGGGTAAAAATTTATGCGTATAAACTCTGTGCTCAGACCTAGTCAATCATTTGAGAGCTCACTGTTGGAAGTGTAGATGAAATCAGTTGATGTGGATATAGGATATGATTCTTGATTCGTGCAAACTATATAAATTACTCTCAAGGACGCTTTTGGACGATATCAATTATCACTAGTCTCAATATTCGTACACATAAAGCTTGTGCACCGAGGTATATAACAGCCACAACAGTAACCTTGCTCGTTATATAACACCTGTGACAAAATGAAAACAAAAAATCACTGAATTGCACTCATTTATCGTGATCATTTCTCAATCGCTGATAGCAGCTGTGCTAATGGCAGCAAAAACATTCGTACTCTCAGAAATATGAATGGTTCATGTTGCCTAAATATCGACACACTTTCTTACCCGCTACACGAAAAGAGAACGGACGTAGCACTGATACAGGACAATTTAACCCAGTAAAAATTTACAGACGCGGTAGCTTCTGATTTGGATTACCAGAAGCTGGGGCGACTCTAAATTTTATTAGGGAAACTGTATCAGGACGACGACACAAAGGCAAAAAGCGCATCTTTATTTGGACAAAGCCTCATTTTTCTGAGTGTATCCCTGAATACGGTGAATGGGTGGTGGGTGTGCTGAAATGCTTATGAAATATGAGTAGGTGTATGAGTACAACTGCTGAGTTATGAACGTGGGTAAGAGGACGACATGAGTGGCATGCAGCAGTGGTGGTATGGACGCGGGAGGCGAGAATATGACACGAGGGGTGACATGAGGGGTGACATGAGGGGTGACATGAGGGGTGACATGAGGGGTGACATGAGGGGTGACATAAGGGGTGGCACGAAGGGTGACATGAGGGGTGACACGAGGGGTGACACGAAGGGTGACACGAGAGGTGACATGAGGGGTGACATGAGGGGTGACATGAGGGGTGACACGAGGGGTGACATGAGGGGTGACATGAGGGGTGACATGAGGGGTGACAAGTGGGGGCTGATAGAGAGGGTCAAGAGAGGGTCTAGTGGCTCGGCATGGGTATAACAGCGCACACAGAGCAATTGTGTATTGATGGTGAAAAGTAAATAATAATGAGTGGAGTAAGAGAAGGAAGAACAACGTGGGCATGAGGGTGGAGGTGTGACAACAGAGGCATGAAGGTAGAGGGGTGACAAGCTTGACTTTTACACACGACAGTTTTGTACTTTAGTTCAATGTGGGTTGGCTTCAATAATTTCTCATTCTTTTATTTAACAGAAATGCTGAAATCAAATTGTTCTATGCACAAAAATTATCAAATATTCACGCATTCCGTCATCCATGTTGGGTATTTGTATTACCAGGAGACAGCATCCAGCTGAAGTGCAACGAGAGTTGTCAACGATTTAAAACTATACACATGTTAGTTGCAAATATCAGAATGGCAGCACAAGTACAAGTTCTTAGTCGGTGTTCCAAGTTCTCAGTAACGTACAAAGTTCACCAAAATAAAGATCTTTTGGTCGTAAAGTGTCACCGATCTGTGAAGCCAGACGAGCGCTGCGTTTTAGTCACAAGGTTGAGTGGGACTGGGACGTGAACCGAGCACAACCTCCCCCCGCCGCTTCCTGAGGCTCACTGAGGACCAGATACCCTCGTCGCTTGAGTGCCGCCGACGAGGGATGAGATCACAAACCAAAAGTGCACGCAATGGCTTAATTACAGTGTTTATTTTTTAGTGACTTAATACTATAGGCAAGACTTATGACTTAGAGGACGTTTTTAAATGTTATCATAGTGACTTAATACTCTAGGCAAGATTTATGAATTAAAGGACGTTTGTTAAATGTTATCATTCAAGATTTTTTGGTTTCGTGAAACGCTGTCCTGCTAATAGAATGATCATCGAGGCGCAAACTGTTATTGGAAATTACGAGCAACAAATAACTATAAAGACCATCAAGTTATTTCACGATGTACTTCTAAATGATAACGAACATAAATTAAGTGAGTTTACTGAGTTTCCTGCTCTTGGATGGCATTTGCTAGCACATCGAATAATTATTCATTGTGTTTAAATAATTCATGTTAATTGTTGTTTGTGAAACATTTAGCCCACCTAATCTAACTTTACCATACCTCAAGTAGGAGCAACGGACCAAAGTTAACCTTTGTGGGCAAAATTAACCTTAGTGGGTTTACTTTAAAAAAATCTAAAATTACTACTAAGAAATTTAAATCATGAGCCTAAGGGCCTGTCTGTACAGAAAAGTGTTCTGAACCAAGTTACCACCAGTACATTGTGAACAAGAAGTTCACTGTCCCAAGCTATCGCGTATTTTACATAAAACTATTCAACTATTTAACTCCTATTTTACATATAACTATTCAACTATTTAACTCCTATTTTACATAAAACTATTCAACTACTCAACTCCTATTTTACATAAAACTATTCAACTATTCAACTCCTATTTTACATAAAACTATTCAACTACTCATATATGTACGTTGCCTTCACATTGTAGGAAGTGCATATGTCGCCTCTGAAGCTGCATGGGGGCGGATGTTGTCAATTGATGACGTTACGAACAACTTCTGTACGAGTATAACGATGTTTTCTCATTCAAACTCATTATCATTCAAATTGATAAAAGTTTAAATATGTAATGATAAATAATTAATAATGAATGAAGTGAAGAAAGATTGAAAAGTAGCAGAACATGATGGCTAGCATAGGGAAGATGGTGGCTAGAGTGCTGGCACTTACTCCTACATGATGTAAAATTGCGGTGAATGCCCCAGAAGAAGCTTCTCTTTTAATGGCAGCCTGGCAGACAAAACTAAAACGAACTGAAGAATATCCTACAGAGCAGGAGTTCTCCATTGTAACGGTGGCTATTTTGCTATTTTATTCATTTTATGTGCCAATAAAATCCACCCGCTAGACATTTCCTACATTTTGATAATTAATGCATCCAATGATGCGAAGCCTGCATTATATGAGGCATTGAATTTGTCTTCATGATTCCGCTCCTATGACATTAAAGTTCGGAATCAGAAAAAGTCTAAAATGAAAGCCTAATTCTAATTCCAGTATTGCCTCGATACAGGTTTAGTCTTATCATGCCCCGCCTTTATTATGATATATTAATGTGAACGCGTCATACAGTTCTGAAAAGCAACTCATAATACTTAACATAAATGAACAATAATCTGCATAACTAATCTTCAAACACGTTTCAATTATAACGAATGAAACGCATGCACAAAAATTTCGTGTTACTCGCACCAATACAGCGACCAGCCGCAGCTGTGAGCCTTTAAATGCGCACTTAATTGCACACTTAAAATAAATTTACGAGCTTCCTGCAAAATTGTATAAAATTTTTACATAAAATAGACGCGCAAAGTAATTAAGTTGTGGCTCTAGATGCATTCTAAAAATGGACTGCCATGGCACAAATCTCCAAAGAAACATAACCATGGAAGAAATCGGACAGCAACGTGGGCTGCCGGCAATTTTTTTGTAAAGAACATCATGTGCAGATGTTGAGTCCTAATTATTTCCAGTTTTTATAACGTTGCTTAGGCCTGCTTAGAGTGCCACGACCAGGCTTGGCTCGGCTGAGTTCATATCAGAAAACGCGGCCGTGGACGACAGAAATCAAGATTGTCGAGTTAGCTCAAGGACTCAAGGAAGTGCTCTGACAAAGTCTTCAAACGAAAGAACCTCTGCCAAATTTAGGAAAGTTTTCGTACGTCTGCGAATATTTTTAGAATAACAAATCTTTGTTATGGATTGAGCTGTCGTTAACAAATAATAAATAAGTAGAGCGGTTTACGGTTCTCTCTACTTCTCTCTCACACTGAACGTCGTTGATTATTTAAAATTTTCTCAATATTCCGTTCGTACTTTTTTCAATTGCTTTCACGTTGCATAAAAGAAAAGATATCAGTATTGTGCGAGTTGTGTTTC